AGCTCAAGGCTAGCGCTCTACCACTTGAGCCACAGTGCCACTTCCGGCTTTTTTCTTTTTGCTTATGTGGTGCTGAGGAATTGAACCCAGGGCCTTGAGCATGCAAGGCAAGTACTCTACCACTGAGCCACCTTCCCAGCCCCTATCTACCACTCTTATCTCCATCTGAGGGAGTGGAGCCACATCCCAACCCTAAAAATAAAGTTTTGAACACTGGATTTTGGTTAGTGGTAATAACCATGGAAATGTGTCTACAAAAGTTAGCAAAGTCAGATAACATCATATACAAATGACAAAGAATATTGAAAGTTTTCTTCTCTGGTTATTTTGGGAATCAAGAATCTAATTTTTCCTTTGAAAAAAATTTAGCTGGGCACAGATGGCTCAGGACTTTAATACTATCAGGAGGCTGAGATCAAGGATCAAAGTTTGAAGCCATTTTGAGCAGGAGACTATGAGCGTCTTTATCTCCAATTAATCACCAAGAAGTCAAAAGTGGAGCCATGGCTAACCTGGAGCAGAAAAGCTCAAGGACAGTGCCTGGGAAATCTAGTTTTCCTATTTTTTTTTTAACTCAATTATAAATGTCGATGTCTGTCTGAAAATACCTGATTCTTTATATGTGACCTAGGAGTAGTTCTGAGAGGGAAAAAATCTCCAAGGGAGAATCAGAAGCCAAGTTCTAAATTGTGTTGTCATGAAAACTCAAGATATGTTGTTTGGGCTGTCCATTGGTGAAACATATTGTAGGGTATCCAGCATAAACAGAACTTCTCTCCTTTTCCTCCTTATGGTTTTGATGCTGGCACCCATGGCCTCACTTAACTTCATCCCTCACTCCCGGATTGTTTTGGTTGGTTGTAGGGCTTGAACTCTGGGCCTGGGCCCAGTCCCTCAGCTCATTGCAAGCGCTCTACCACTTGAGCCACAGGGACCGCTTCCGGTTTTCTGGTGATTCATTGGAGATGAGTGTCCCACGGACTTTCCTTGGGCTGGCTGTGAACCGAGATTCTCAGATCTCAGCCTCCTGAATAGCTAGGCTTACAGGCCTAAGCCACCGATGCCCGGCTACCCGAATTCTTTACCAGATGGCTATAATCAACAACGTACACATATTGAAATCAAAATTTGGATAGGTGGCATATATTTGCCCAAACTTACATTCGGTAAGGCCAGACAAGCTTTGGCTTTACCAACGTTGCACGTAGCTGCGGGAGAACTACAATTCCCGTGCGCCTCTGCGGCAACATCGCGAGAATTTCCTTAAAAGCAGCGGCGGGAACGCGGAGCCAGCGGCTGTCTGGGTTTTTGCTGGGGTCGGCGGCTGGGAGGATGGCGAACAGCTTCAGTCCGGACAGCGAGCCCACTACACGCACCTTGCTACGGCGGGTGCTGGATACAGCGGACTCCCGCACCCCGCGGCGACGCCGGAGTGCTCAGGCTGGGTTTGTAGGGGCGCTGCTAGAATGACTGATGAGTGGGGTCTCCAATCCTATTTGGAGAGAAATACTCTCTGGGAGGATCCGAGCCCCAGGCCCTGAGAACTGACCCAACTCCTAGCCCAGCTCAGCTTATCTGTGCCTCTAAATTTGGACGTGTGGAGGCAAAAGATCGGCATTGCGTCCTCCGGATTACTTAGCCCAAACTAGCCTAGGGTGTGGCCAGGTATCCGCCCTGCCTCTGCAGGTGTCCCCACTTTTCCTTGCATATTCAGTTCTACTTGCCCTGTGGCTTCTGACTTACGTGGAAAAAGCGTTAGGAAGCTGTCAACAAAGAAGTCAGAAAACAAGCCGGGCGCTGGTGGCTCACGCCTGTAATCCTAGCTACTCAGGAGGCTGAGATCTGAGGATCGCGGTTCAAAGCCAGCCCGGGCAGAAGAGACCGTGAGACTCCTATCTCCAATAAACCACCAGAAAACCGGAAGTGGCGCTGTAGCTCAAGTGGTAGAGCGCTCGCCTTGAGCTGAAGAGCTGAGGGACAGCGCCCAGGCCCAGAGTTCAAGCCCCACGACCGACAAAAAAAAGAAGTCAGGAAACAGAAACTGGAAAGGTGCTTTGCTAGGAAGCAGGACTTGGTTCTGTTGTTTCTGGTAGAGGTGAACTCATGGGGCAAAAGGCGCAGAAGTTGACATCTGCCAGCCTGGTACAGTGTAGTCCTTTTCCTTATAGAGGAATGGCAAGTCACTTATCGTTGGTTTTAGACCTATGTGGGATGGAGCTGTGCTCAGGGAACCTGTAACCTGTACGTGGTTTTGAGAGGAATTGGACTGGATAAATGGACTGACAAAAAATTCTTAAATATCCTTCTTGGATTATATGGAGGTGTGGAATGGATAATCTTCCATTTTTTTCTTCTATTATATGGCAAACTTTTATTTTTATTCTTTTGTTGTTGGTGGTTGTGGAGCTTGAACTCAGGGTCTGAGCATTTTTGCTGGTTTATTGGAGATAGCCTCACCAACTTTCCTGTCTAGTCTGGCTTCAAACCTTGATCCTCAGAGATCTCAGCCTTCTGAGTAAATACGAGCCACCAGTCCCTGGCTTACTTTTATTCTTTATGATTCTGGCTCAGGTCAACTCTGTGAAATTTTTCTCAGCCTCCATTTCAATTAGATAGTTCCTCTCTTCTCATAATCCAGGCTCTCTATCTGGGTCCCTGTTGACCTAGGGCTGGGAAACAAGGAAATGGAAGGCACAAGTTGTTTATGGGTTCCTGGCCCTGAGAGCAAAGGGCATTAGGCCAGAAATTCTGGTAAAGGCTTATATCTGCATCCCCTATCACTTCACCCTCACTTTTTCTTTCTTTTTTTTTTTTGGTTGGTTGTAGGGCTTGAACTCTGAGCCTGACACTGTCCCTCAGCTTTTCAGCTCAAGGCTAGTGTTCTACCACTTGAACCACAGCGCCACATCTGGCTTTTTCTGTTTATGTGGTACTGAAGAATGGAACGTAGGGCCTCATGCATGGGAGGCAAGCACTCTACCTTTGAGCCACCTTCCCAGCTCTCACCCTCACTTTTTTTTTTGGTCAGTTGTGGGACTGGAATTCTGGGCTTGGGCACTGTCCCTACACTCTTCAGCTCAAGGCTAGCGCTCTACCACTTGAGCCACAGTGCCACTTCCGGTTTTCTAGTGGTTTATTGGAGATAAAGAGTCTCACGGACTTTCCTGCCCATGCTGGCTTTGAACCATGATCCTCAGATCTCAGCCTCCTGAGTAGCTAGGATTACAGGGGTGAGCCACCGGCACCCGGCTCTCACCCTCACTTTTTAAGAATTCTCAGATGAAAAAAAAGTTAAAAAAAGAAAATTCTCAGATGCCATGCACTGGTGGATCATACTGGTAAGCCTAGCTACTCACAATCTGAAGATTGTAGTTCAAAGCTAGCCCAAGCAGGAAAGTTCATAATACTCTTATCCTCAATTAGCCACCTAAAACCAGAAGTCAAGCTGGGCTCAAAGTGATAGAGCACTAGCCTTTAACGAAAGAGCTCAGGGAAAGTGCCCAGTCCTTGAGTGCAGGCCCCAGGACCAAAAAAAAAAAAAAGAATTCTCAGAGCTCTTGGTCTTTATACAGTTCCCCAAAAACCCTGCGTGAAACACGTTCTTCCACAAGACGGAGGAGCCAAACAAAGACAACTGCCAGACAGCATTCCCATGGAGGCAGGGTAAGTAACCAGTCACAACCACTCTAGAATTCTACATAGGGTCCTGAGGTCTGTTTCTGCTCTGGATCCTACCTTGAAGGCAGAAGAACAGACTAGATTCATGGTGCTTTTACCCGTAGTCTATTGGCAGATTAGCCCATGTTCGAGCCAGTAAGAACCTGGAGGAACAGACACCTCGGACTCTGCTGAAGAATATCCTATTAACTGGTGAGCACTGGCCTGCTAGTTAGGTGCTAGTTCAACACCAGTCCTATGGTATTCTCAGCTCCATCATCTTCCTGTTTCTGCAGCCCCAGAATCGTCCATCCTGATGCCAGAATCAGTGGTGAAGCCAGAACCAGCACTACAGGTGGTCCAGCCTTCCAGAAGGGAAAGCAGTCGGGGCAGGTGCACAGTGAACTCACTTATGAGCTAGGTTGTTGGACAGCTCTGGTCTGGGAGCTTCTTCAGGGGCCTAAATGGTTTCCTGGCCTGTCTGAGATAAACTGTGTCCTTACAGTCTGGAGCTGCAACTTCCTGAACTAGAGCCCTCCACAACCCTAGCACCAAGTCTGCCAGCCCCTGGCAAGAGGAAGCAGAAGCTGAGATTGTCATTGTTTCAACAAGAAGTAAATCAGGGGCTCCCTCTCCCTCAAGGTGAGGCATAGAACACTACCTGTTGCTGTCCTCTCTCTTCTGGTCTCTGGAGACGTGGAAGATGCCCAAGAGAAGACTTTCATGGGCCTGGATAACTTACCATGATTTCTTCTTTTTTTATATCCTCTCACTGGTCACTGACAGATCCTGCAGGGAATGCTGATGCCTCGTCACTTACCAGGTGCTGTTACCTCTTTTGGGGGTTGATGGAACAGAGGTCTGGGAAGGGAGGAACTCACTGGGAGCCACACCAAAGAGATGAGAGCCCCAGGACAGAAGGGGAATCCTTTGGCAAAAGTAGCCCTCAGGTACCTTACTTTCCTATGCTTCTTCCCTCACACCAGCTCCCTCAACCTGACATTTGCCACACCTCTTCAACCACAGTCAGTGAGGAGACCTGGTTTGGCCCGCAGACCTCCTACCCGAAGGGCTGTAGATATGGGTCTCTTGTTGCAAGATCTGCATGATAATTCCTTAGCCTTAGCTCCTCCAGGTAAGGTTGAGGTCTTCTCCATCCAACCTTTGGGGAAAACTACCCCCCTCCATGACAAAAAAGAGGTACAGCTGAGCCCAGGATTGTTCCTCTGTTGGTAGGGTCAAGGACAGCAGTCCGTATTTTTTTTTTTTTGGTCAGTCGTGGGGCTTGAACTCTGGGCTTGGGCGCTGTCCCTGTACTCTTCAGCTCAAGGCTAATATTCTACCACTTAAGCCACAGTGCCACTTCCGGTTTCCTAGTGGTTAATAAGAGTCTCACGGACTTTCCTGCCCATGCTGGCTTTGAACCTCAATCCTCAGATCTCAGCCTCCTGAGTAGCTAGGATTACAGGAGTGAGCCACCAGCACCCGGCTAGTAGTCAGTACTTTAAGAAGTAGTTTCTGCTTTCTTTCCACAAGTGTCTGGCCTTAATGTCAGGTCTGTATCTTCTACCACTGAGCCACCTTCCCAGCCCTCAGGTCTGTATCTTCTAGAACCTCATATTTTGAGCTACAAAGCTGAGGTTAGTAGGAAAGGGGTGGAGTTTGGTGGCTAGGTTCATCATCAGCTAGCAAATTAGAATTGACCTGGGATCCTGATTGCAGAACACAAGTTCACCAGAGTAGGACAGTTCTGGGCAGAGGAGAAGTAGAGAGTAAAGAAATGGTAAATAGTTGGAGTGGGGATGAGAGGGAGGGCAAGCTGTAGAAATGCCAGACCAAGGAATAGGAAGGTAACATGGTCCGCTGTGGAAAAGAGATAAGTGCTGCCAGGCACCGGTGACACACGCCTGTAATCCTAGCTACTCAGGAGGCTGAGATCTGAGGATCGTGGTTCAAAGCTAGCCCGGGCAGGAAAGTCTGTGAGACTCTAACCTCCAATAAACCACCAGAAAACTGGAAGTGATGCTGTGGCTCAAATGGTAGAGCCCTTGCTTTGAGGGATAGCACCCAGGCCCAGAGTTCAAGCCAACCAAAAAAAAAAGAGAGCGAGAAAGAGAGAGAGAAGTGGGGTTCAGAATCTTTCTCTGAAAGCCACAAAGGCAGGGCAGACCTGTAGAGCCCACCATGTGGGCCCTAGAAACTCAGGGTTCAGCAGGTAGGCCTAGAATACACTGAGTTACAGCCTGCTTTTCATCTCTAGGTGACAGTGGCAGAGCTGCTGTTGCTACTTTGCCAACGGATACGGTGTTGGAGGATACCCAGCCCTTCTCACAGCCCTTGGTTGGCCATTCTCCCAGTGTGTATCACTCCCCAGCCCACTCCTCTCACACTGGTACTGAATATTCTGAGAGGACTGTGGGTCATAGGACACACAGCATTGGGCCAGAACTGCAGAACCACAGTGAGTATGTGGGGCAGGTGGTCTGGAGCCAAGGTTAGCTTAGGCAAGAGTTGGCACTGGTAGCTTTTCCTCCCAGATCCCATGTGTTTCTTTTTTTTTTTGGGTCCGGTCATGGGGGCTGAACTCAGGGCCTGGGCGCTGTCCCTCAGCTCTTCAGCTCAAGGCTAGCGCTCTGCTACTTGAGCCACAGCGCCACTTCCGGCTTTTTTTTTCTTTTTGCTTATATGGTGCTGAGGAATTGAACCCAGGGCCTCAGGCATGCAAGGCAAGCGCTCTACCACTGAGCCACCTTCCCAGCCCCCATGTGTTTCCTAACTGGAGTTCCTGGCTAGCAATTCCTCTACCTAGAATCAGAGTCAGTGTTGGGCCAAGAGGTTTCAAACCAGTTTCCTGGTGCTGCCTCTGGCATGTTCTCTTCTCAGTGAGTGAGGCTGGCTTTACTTTGCCTTTCTCAGAGCTACAACCTTGGCCTGCTGCTTCTTCAGTGGTGTCAGAAGCAGAGAGATCCAAGGGGGCTGTGGAGGACAATGAGCCAGAAGGATCTATACAGAATGAAGACATTTCTGGCAGGCCAGGTAAAAGGCCCAGTGTAGGCATCAGCAGGTGGTTGGTGACTACTGTGTTAAGGCCCTGGCACATAGAAGGGGCTTGCCTGGGAATTGACTTGAGGATTGCTGGTATTAGTGGGGAAGAGAAACTCTGAAGGGCACTTGGTTGACTGGAGATGGGTAAAGCCCTTGACAAGGAGACTGGACCTGCATGGCTGACTGAGATGGTGAAACCTGGGTCCCCTGTGACCCTGCCTTTTCTCTACAGCAAGTCCAGAATTGGCCGCCAGCACCCCTGAGTTCCTCCAGGCCAAGCGATCCCGTCAGTTTCTTGAGCCAGCCCCAACACAGCCTGATGTTGCAGTGTAAGAACCCAGGATTCTGGGCCTCTTGGGAAGGGGGCTGCACTGAGGTTGACATTTGGCACTTTATACAGACTGTGATCCCACTTTATGTCCCCCATGGATATGCAGATCACCCAGCACAGCAGCCTGAGCTGGGATACAGGGTGTTCCCCAATAATGTATTTGTCATCCTGAAGCCTACTTCCAGGGGCTTAGAGAAGGAAAAGGTATCTGGGTTAGTGTGTAGTCAGAGAAGGCTTCCTTGAGGATGATTAGTGGAATTGAGACAGGCAATGATAGATCCTAAAGGGGAGAGACTAGGCCAGGTGCTAAGGAAGAAGCAGAACTTCAATAGGGGCCTCCTCAAGTATCAGTTGTCACCTCTGTCTACTTCTGCCCCCAGCTTGCCTCCAGAGCCTAAGGAGCCTGTGCCAGCCAAACTTCCCCCCAGGCCCCGGACTGCTGCCCCCAGACGCCGTCAAGATCCTTACAAAGCTGGACTGAGCCACTATGCAAAACTCTTTAGTTTCTATGCCAAGATGCCCATAGAGAAGAAAGCTCTCGAGATGGTGGAGAAGTGGTGAGTGCATCTTGTACTCCTGGGTGGGTAGAGGAGCCTCTTAGGTTATGAACAGACTCATTCAGTTTGCTCTCCCTCAACCTCCGTGGCAGCCTAGACAAGTATTTCCAGCACCTTTGCAATGATCTGGAGGTGTTTGCTGGTCATGCTGGCCGCAAGACTGTGACGCTAGAGGATTTGGAGCTGCTGATGCGACGGTAAGAGGGCAGAAAAGAGAAGCTGGGCAGGAGAGGGTGGAGGAGGGTGCTCATGCTAATGCTGGCTGCTCCTTTTTCTCTGCTGCAGGCAGGGTCTGGTCACTGAGCAAATCTCGTTGCATGTGCTTGTGGAGCGACACCTGCCCCTGGAGTACCGCCAGCTGCTCATCCCCTGTGCATTTAGCGGCAATTCTGTCTTCCCTGCTCAATGATGGCCAGGCCTCAACCTTTGCTCTGTCTGCACCAGGACCTCGTAATTCATATCGTTCTCCAGCTCTCTCCCCTCTTCCCTCTCCCCTAAGATCAATAAAGTATCACAAACAGAAATTCTGCTTTTTTGTACATGTTCTGGGGCCAGCCCAGATACCCCTTATCCCCCAGTCACTGACTTGCCAGCACAGCCTGGAATGAACAGTTTTATAATAAAAATGGAGTTCTCACTGGAACACTCAGTGTTGCCCATCATGATCCTAGCTTGTGGGCTCTGGCTCTCGAGGCCCCATGCGCTTGGTGTCAGCAATGTGAAGTCGCTCCAGTACCTTCTGGAGCTCTACTGCAGTGCTCTCTTCCTCTTCTTCCTCCTCCTCCCCTTCCTTCTCTTTTTCCAAATCTGGCAGTTCTGACTCAGGAATCTGGAAGGCCTGGCTCAGATAGGCATTCAGTGTCTGTTTGTCAAGGCTGGGGTCAATGGTCATCAGGGCCTTTCGTAGCTTGGATAGTGTCACCTCCTGATTGCTGTCCCCCCACAAGGAAAGAGAGAGGTTTGAGCCCTCCAGTGCCCTCCTTTCTGCCCAGCTTGAGCAGTTTATAGTGCCCAGCAGTATAGGTGGGCCTAAGATGCCACCCTGTGGGCAATTCAGTGATTGAGTGGGCCTGTGGACTCCCAGGTAGGTCACTTACAGATTCAGGTCCAGCTGCTGCTTTAGTTCCTGTAAGTATGCTTCCTTCTCAGCCATATACTGTTCCCACAGCTTTTGCACAAAGGGCTCACTCTGGCCCTCCTCACTCTGGAAGGGGCCACAAGGCAGGGTAAGGCCACATTGACTGGAGTCCAGTTAAGGTTAGGGTAAGGGTAGAGCAAGTTCCTGGGCCCCCATACCCACCTCCATAAACAAAAAAGGGTAATTTAACACATCTGCAATGTTGCCAACATGCCAGCCCCCTGCCTCCATCAGCTCCTGAATTGCATCTTCCTTTTTGAGGGGGAAGGTGGTCTTAAGAATGTTGCTGTGGAAGGAGACACAATAAGTCAACAGGAACCCTGGCTGAGGGTGTCCACTCCTCTCTCCATCCCCTTTTGGGGCAGGGGGAGGGAATCGCAACTAGTATTCAGAAGGACTGAGCTCTGGGGCTTTCTTTTTCCCTGCATACCTGGGGGCCAGGCCAGTGGAGATGGTGGGCTGGAGTTTGGGATGGCCTGGACTGGCCTCTTACCTGAACTGCTCACTGGTTAGTAACCCTTCATTTTGACTGTCAGCATTCTTCATCTCCTTTTGCAGCTGGGCTACTGTATCCCTGTAGTTGTTATATACACTCTCCGTCATCTACAGGGAAGGATGTATATTCACTAATGTGCTGCTTCCTGGATTAGTGGGTGCAGAGCTGGCCTATGCTGGGATTAGAGGTCCTTTTTGTCTCCTTAAGTGGAACAACCAAGGGCCAGGCTCACCTTTCCCATCAAGACTGCATAGAACTGACTCATGACCTCATTGGTGCGGAAGAGCTTGATATTTTCAAAAATGGTGTAAGCCCAGGCTATGGCCTCACTGGGCCCAAAACGATGCTCCAAGAAATTGATGAAGAAATCTTGGAACTTCTTTTTCTGTAGGGAGAAATGCTTGGTCAGCTTGCCAGAGTTGGCTCTCCTTACTTCCTAACCCCTTGAGTTGACCCCCACATTCCCGAAGAACTCTGATCTGAAGGCCTTACTAGACCAAAATGACTAGAGAGAAAGCTGACCTCATCTGTGAGCCGTTCCTTCCAGGCATCCTTGAGGAGTTTTACCACAAACTTTTTAGTTGGCTTCTTGTTCTCCACATTGCCTTCACACTGAAGGAAAACAGGGACATCTTCCCCATAGCCCTGGAAGGCAGAGTATCAGCTCTGTGTCCCCACCTCCAAACACAGAAGAACCCCAGGTGGTCTCCCCAAAAGCTTATCTCCTCATTTGCAAGGTCTGTGGGCTCTGGCTCTGGGTCTCTGCCTCCCACGCGGGGACTCCCCTACCAGACCCTGGAAGAAGTCTTTCTCTCGGAGCAGGCCCTCGCCAATTTCCTCCAGGAGTATATCCACCAGCTGGTCACTGTTCTTGCCCTCTGCCAGTATATGCCACCGTTCTGAGCCCCCAGCCACCACATCTGCAAGTGGGGAGAGGGAGCTAGAGTCCAGGCCAGGCCATTCAGTAAGCCCTGGATCCCCGATGGCCATAATTACTTTCACACTTGGTCCAGTCTGGTCGGGGTGTAGAGGTGCGTTGGATCTCTTGCAGCTCAGCTGAGAACTGGTCTCGCTCCTTCAGCGTCATCATGTGTGACTGCAGCAATAACTCATGTTCCTTGCACACCTCCTCATAGTCGGCTTTCAGGCTATCCAGCTGTAGGCAAGGTAGATGGATCCTAGCTACCCACTGGACTGATCCTGCCCTACCTACTATGTCTAGCTTAGCCTTGCCAGCCCACCAGCACCTGCTCTTGAAGATCCTTGTTGGTCTTCTCCTGCATTTCAAAATCTCTCCTTGGTACCACATCTCCAAAGTTGGCCTTCATGGTGTTGAGCTCCATCTGTGTGCGGGTCAGGTCTTGCCGGGTCATCTTCAGAGCCAGTGTCAGCTTCACAGGGTCCTCCCCCCAGACGCCTGCCAGGGAGGCCGGCAGCCTATGTCACCCTGGCTCTGGAGCTTGTAGCCCAGAGCTGGGTTGAATAAGCTCTTGGGACATGCTCTCTGTGCTGAGTCTTCTCCACAGTACTACCAGCCTAGGCTTAAATAGAGAAGCCTAGGATATGTAATGACCAGGTCAAAGAGGAGTTCAGTTCCTTCACCTTTCAGAAATGGTCCTGCTTAATGATCCTATGACTCTTGGTCCAGCTGAGAAGATCCCCCGCCCTGACTGGTGGCAGGGACATCTCCCACATGTGGGCACAGAATGAGTATTAGACATACTGAATGAGGCTGAGTCCTGGTGACTGTAATCCTAGCTACTCAGGAAGCTGAAATGTGAGGATCATGGTTCAAAGCCAGCCCAAGCAGGAAAGTCTGTGAGACTCTTATCTCCAACTAACCACTCAAAAACAGGAAGTGGTGCTGTGGCTCAAACTGATAGAGCGCTAGCCTTGAGCAAAAGAACTCAAGGACATGGGCTGGGAAGGTGGCTCAGTGGTAGAGCTCTTGCCTTGCATGCATGAGGCCCTGGGTTCGATTCCTCAGCACCACACAAGCAAAAAGAAAAAAGCTGGAAATGGCGCTATGGCTCAAGTGGTAGAGCGCTAGCCTTGAGCTGAAGAGCTGAGGGACAGCACCCAGGCCCAGAGTTCAGGCCCCAACCCCCAAAAATGTATTCTTGGCCGGGCACTGGTAGCTCATGCCTGTAATCCTAGTTACTCAGGAGGCTGAGATCTGAGGATCATGGGGTTCAAAGCCAGCTCGAGCAGGAAAGTCCATGAGACTCTTATCTCCAATAAACCACCAGAAAACTGGAAGTGGCTCTGTGGCTCAAGTGGTAGAGTGCTTACCTTGAGCTGAAGAGATGAAGGACAGCACCCAGGCCCAGAGATAGTGCAAGTATTCTTCAGCTAAGCTCTTCCTCAGTTTGGATACCTGTTGCGAAGGTGGCTGTGTAGTTGGGGTTAGCTAGTCACTCCAGGGGTGGGATGGGGGCTGGGTGGTGCCCTTGGCTTAGTAACAGGAAAGGTAGAAGAAGGAAAGTGGCCAGTCTCAGGAGCCCAGCAAAGTGCCCAGACTTTCCTCTGGGAATCTGCTAGTACCAGGGCCTCCCAAGCAGAGAAGAGGGTGATGGGAATATGAGCTCAGGGAGATGGAAGAGCTCTGTGTCATTCTAGGCAGAATGGAGAACGGAGTTAGGGGTTGCCTTAGTGCACAGGTGATCCCTGTGGTCACAGTAAAACAGGAATTCAGGAGCTGGGGCAGCACACCATTTTCATTTACCTCACTCTGCAATGAGATCTTCTCCTCATTCTTTTTGTCAATGAGTTTTAGCAAATTCATCTTCTCGTTCTTCAATGTGGCGATTTCACTCTTCTCCTCAGCCCTCATAGCCAGGATCCTCTGGTTGCAGTCCTCATTCACAGTGACAAGCTTGGCCTTTAGGGGCTCTAGGGTCCGTATCTTGTCCCTTTGGTAGGCTAAGCAGGCATAAGTGGAAAAGTCCTTTTCCAGCCAGGGACAACAAACAGCCAGAAGACAGATGCTAAGGTTATGAGTGAATGGCTGTCAGTTACCAATTTCAGGAGTCTAATGCCGGTCTTTTTTTTTGTTGTTGTCGGTCGTGGGGCTTGAACTCTGGGCCTGGGCGCTGTCCCTCAGCTCTTCAGCTCAAGGCGAGCGCTCTACCACTTGAGCTACAGCGCCACTTCCGGTTTTCTGGTGGTTTATTGGAGATAGGAGTCTCACGGTCTCTCCTGCCCAGGCTGGCTTTGAACTGCGATCCTCAGATCTCAGCCTCCTGAGTAGCTAGGATTACAGGCGTGAGCCACCAGCGCCCGGCTCTATGCTGGTCTTGTTCAAAGCCATGTCCCCTGCTTCAAGTCTTTCTGTAGTTGTTTTGGGGGTCTGAAATCACAGCTATACCCTCACACCTATGCCTTTAGTCCTGAGCCCCAGCTTCTTCATACCTCCTGAACCTGGCAGGTGCTTATGCTCCTGGAATTGTTTCCTGTAAATACTACCTCTCTAGTTTTTACAATGGTGAGAGGGCATGGGGTACCCTGAGTGACCTTAAGGCCCAAGTTAGTAGCTGCCCCAGCTCTGCTATGGAGTCCCAGAAAAATCAGAAGAGAATCCTCTGTTGCCATTCCTATTTGGGCCCAGGAAAGAAGCTACCTTCTTACCCAGCATCAGCTCATATGCATTCTTGATGGAGGACAGCAATGGCTTATAGCTCTTGAAATCTTCTATGAAGAAGTCAAAGATTTCTCTGTAAGGCTGACCAGAAAAGGGAACCTGTCACTTCCTAGCCCATACCTGCCACCTTGAAGCTGTCAGGTAACCCATAGCAAAGGAATGCTCTGGGGATCACTTAGATATCATAGGTGCCATGGACTTTGGGGAGGGGGTTCTCTGAAGGGTTTCTGAGACCTGGAAAACTATCATTGGCTAACTTTGCCACTGTCTGACCCCCTTCTCTGGCTGTATAAACAGCCAGCCTCTTGCTTTCTAGACCCTGCACCCCCCCCTCCACTTCAAAGCCCCATGGGATCAGGAAATTGCAAATTCTAGCCTTGCATTCTGACCCTAAAGTAGAATTGTGGCCTCCTGTCCCCTTTGGACACAGGATGATTCTTTTTTTTTTTTTCCTTTTGGAAGGGGTGCCTGGATATGGAGACTAGATTTGCATACACAAAAATCAGCAAGTGTTTGAGGCAGCATTGTTTGCTTCCCCAAAATTCAGCCCTATTACTTCCTACTGGACTGCCTTTAAGCTTCTGCTTCCTCACTGGTGAGGTATCTTCTGCTTGTAAGATTGTGCCCAGGGCCTGGCCCATGGACAGCTCAGTACATGCTTCAGTCATGATCAGAAGTGAGAGATTCCCTGTTATCATCCTTGAGTCTCTCTCGGATAAACACCAGAATCTAGGATGCAGCTTCTTCCCTCCTTCTTTCCCTCCCTCCTTTCTTCCCTACCTCCCTCCTTTCTTTCCTCCTTCTCTCTCCTCTTCTCTTTCCTTCCTTTGCCTCTGAACTGGTTCCTCAAGATTAGGGTTGTTATTACTAGGCTAGTGGGCTCTATTTGATTTTTGCTTTCCCAACTGCCAGATTCAGGCTCCATTTACTTATGTCTTTTTGTGTGTGCTTGCTGGTCCGGGGCTTGAATTTAGGGGTTAGGTGCAGTCCTTGAAGTTTTTTTTTTTCCTCACAAGGTTAGTGCTCTATCACTTGAGCAGAGTTCCACTTCTGGCTTTTGGGGGTTACTTGGTGATAAGAATCTACTGGACTTTTCTACCAAGGCTGAATTCAAACCACGATCCTCAGATCTTAGCCTCTTGAGTAGCTAGTATTACAAGTGTGATCCACAGGTACAAAGCTCTGATTCACTGATGTCTATGGAGCCAGCCTAGCAGCTAAAGGGACAGGAGAGAGCATCCAGTCTACACAATTTAGTGAAAAAAAAAAAAACCAAGGTTCAGTATTTTTTTGCGGGGGAGGGAGTTGGTTGTGGGGTTTGAAGTCTGGGCCTGGGCACTGTCCCTGAGCATTTTGGCTCAAGGCAAGTGCTACACCCCTTGAGCCACAGCACCACTTCTGGCTTTTTCTGTTTATGTGGTACTGAAAAATCAAACCCAGGGTTTCATGCCTTCTAGGCAAGCAGTCTACCACTAAGCCACATACCCAGCCCTTTGGTAGTATTTTTGTTTGATTTTTGTGCTGGTACTGGGGCTTGAACTCAGGGCTTAGGTACTGTTCTTTAGCTTTTTTCAGTCAGGCATAGTGCTCTATCACTTAAGCCATAGTTCTACTTCTGGTTTTTTGCTGGCTATTTAGAGATAAGAATTTCATGGACTTTCTTGCCTAGGCAGGCTTTGAGTGATGATTCTCAGATCTCAGCCTCCTAAGTACCTCAAACTTGGGAGCCATCGAAGACCTGGCTCACTGACCTTGTTATAGGATACGCTTTTCTTCAGGAGAGACCCAGATGAGCCAGATCCCTCAGAATATCTAGCCTGCTCAGTATCAGTGGGTGAGGTTTCTTCCTGCCCTCCCCCATATTTAATCTGTGACTCTGACCTGTAACCTTAGCTCCTGCGTGGAATCTGTGCCCAGGTCTAGCAGGAGAAGTTCCTTGCGTAGGTAGTTTTCTAGCTGCTCCAGGTACTTGGGTTTGGCTATGCCCAGGGGATGATGCTGCCAGCTATTGAAAAGAATGCAGGATGGGATGTCACCAGCACCCTTGGCCTGGGACAACACATACATCAACCCTATCTGCCTGGTATATCATTCACCATTAGACCAACCCTGTCTTACCTAGGTCGCTTCCGGTACTCATCGGAACAAGGCTTTTGATTCTGCAGAACAGTCTGGCCACTGGCGAATGTGGGCCATGGGGACAGGTGGCCACTCAGGGAGAACTGCCAGGGCTTCAAGGAGAGAATCTGGTGTTACTATGGTAACATGACTCCCTCCTTCCTGATATTCCTACATCCTTCCTCCCACATTCCCATTTGTTTTCCCCACTACCATTCTCCTCTGGTATACTCTCTCTCTCTCTCTCTCTTTTTTGGGGGGGGGTCCAGTCATAGAGCCTGAACTCTGGGCCTGGTCCCTCAGCTCTTCTGCTCAAGGCTAGCACTCTACCACTTGAGCCACAGCCCCACTTCCGGATTTTTTCTTTTTGCTTATGTGGTGCTGAGGAATCGAACCCAGGGCCTCATGCATGCAAGACAAGTGCTCTACCACTGAGCCACCTTCCCAGCCCTCTCTCTAAATCTTGACATGGTTTCTCACTATGTAGATTCTAGGTTGGCTTCAAACTTAAGATTCTCTCCTGAGGTTCTGGGATGACAGGTGTGTCTCATCAATCTTGGTTCATAATTAAGACTATGGTCCTTGAGTTAGGGCATGGGTTAAAGCTCTTATCTCCCTTACTAACTGTGTGGTCATGGGTTTACTTCTCTGAGCCTCAGTCTCTGTATCCACCATCATGGGGATAATGGTGGTCACCACTTTCCTGTACTGAGGTGAGGTGCCATGACACTATGGCTCCTGCTTGGAACTCAATGAAAGTGAGCTATTCTCTTCTGTATTAAGTCAGTGAGTATTGAATACCTGTTCTGTGAAAACAGATATGAGTTACAAGAGAGCCTGGCCCTGGCCCCATGAAATAGTATGGCTAAAAACAGAGAGGAAGGCAGGCCCAGCCTCAAGCCTGGACTTACAAGACAGATGTAGACATGCAGCAGAGGGTGCTGTAAACCTTGAGAGAAGATTGGGCTATGCCACTGGGGGCAAAGGGAAGTAGGTGAGGAACCCCAGAAATGGAATTCATTTGGAACCTTGAGCAGGGGTAGGGGCAGGGGGCATGTAGTAATCTTTTCATGAAGCGCTCATGGCAGGGATGCCAAATATAACCCTCTGGTCCAGAGCAGACTTCTAAGTTTTTACGTCTTTTTTTTTTTTTTGGGTCTGATCGTGGGGCCTGAACTCTGGGCCTGGGCGCTGTCCCTGAGCTCTTCAGCTCATGGCTAGGGCTCTACCACTTGAGCCACAGCACCACTTCCGGCTTTTTTCTTTTTGCTTATGTGGTGCTGAGGAATCGAACCCAGGGCCTCAGGCATACAAGGCAAGCGCTCTACCACTGAGCCACCTTCCCAGCCCCTTTATGTCTTTTTTTTTGGTGGTGGTGCCTCAGGGCCTCAAGTATGGTAGGTAAGCACTGTACTACTGTACACTGTATCACTTAGCTACCTAGGGTTTTATTCAATCCAATCATTCACTTGTTCATCAAGCTCATCTGGGTCCTAGTGCATATCAGATCTTGGTGGATTCTAAGGACATGTGGGAAGCTGGGGACAATGGGCATCAATTGATGATCACAAGTCAACATGAAATGAGTGAAGCCAGTGCAGGTTCATGGAGGTTGGGAGGCCCTCTCTGGGATAGGCCAGGAAAGGTTGGGTCTGTAAGCGGTGGGTAATGAGGCTAATACAGCTGAAATAAAAGCAAGGGAGTAGGTGAGGTCACTTAGGCAGTCTATGAGTGGTAGAAAGACACAAAGAATGCCTGGGTAGCATAAAGACTCCAGGATATAGATTTGAAGAGTTATGAGTTGGGGCTGACGTCCAGGAAGAGCAGGTTGTCTGAGGTTCTGGTTTAGGCTAAGGCCTGGAACAAAGAGCCCAGGCAGCTACCCCAGAAGGAGTCAGAGCTGGAACAGCAGCAGTGTTGCTTTATTTCCTCCTCCTCCTCCTCCTCCTCCTCCTCTTCTTCTTCTTCTTCTTCCTCCTCCTCCTCCTCCTCCTCATTCTTCCTCTTTTGTGCCAGTATTAGGGTTTGAACTCAAGACTTGGGCACTGTTCCTGAGGTGTTTTCTGCTCAAGGCTAGCACCCTACGACTTGAACCACACCTCCACTTCTGGCTTTTTGTTGGTTAATTGGAGATGAGTCTGTCAGATTTGTCTGCCTGGACTAGCTTGCAATGGCAATCTTCAGATCTCATCCTCTTGAGTAGTTAAGATTACAAGCATGAGCCACTGGTGCCCAGCTAGCAGTAGCATTTCTAACAAGGGAAGTCCTCAAAGTCATACTGTGCCTCTGGAAAAATTAGAAAACTTCTAAATGTTTAAGAACAGAACAGTGAGCTGAGTGCTGGTGGCTCACGCCTGTAATCCTAGCTACTCAGGAGGCTGAGATCTGAGGATTGTGGTTCAAAGCCAGCCTGGGCAGGAAACTCTGTGAGACTCTTATCTCCAATAAACCACTAGAAAACCAGAAGTGGCATTGTAGCTCAAGAGGTAGAGCTCTCGCCTTGAGTTGAAGAGCTGAGGGACAGCACCCAGGCCCAGAGTTCAAGCCCCATGACAAACAAAAAACAAAACAAAACAAAAAAACAGAACAGTGTTATTCAGCCATGAAATAGTTACAAAGAAGCTCAAATAAAAATACACTAACAGGGGCTGGGAAGGTGGCTCAGTGGTAGAGTGCTTGCCTTGCATTCATGAGGCCCTGAGTTTGATTCCTCAGCACCACATAAACAGAAAAAGCTGGAAGTGGCACTGTGGCTCAAGTGGTAGAGTACTAGCCTTGAGCAGAAGGGCTGAGGGACAGTGCCCAGGCCTAGAGTTCAAGCCCCACAACCGGACCCCCCCCCCAAAAAAAAGAAAAAATCAAAAAGCAATCAGAGATTATTATTCCCTAATGATAGGATCATGTATTATTACTTTTGTATAATTGCACATTTTCAACATTTTCTACAATGAGCAAAGGACACCTTCAGATTGAAAAGAAAATTGAATTATTGAAAAAGTCTCATTTATGCTCTGAATTCAACCTCCCATTCTCAGGAACGGAGAAACCAGGATACCTGCCTGTCCCAGGTTCTTGTTCAGGCGAATGGTAAAAAGTCTAATGGCAACTGGCTCTTAATGTGGAAAATGCCATCATTTTCTCGACTGTTCTTGGCATGACTTTTTCTACTGCATCCTGCTAGTTTTGTACATGTTTTAACTCAATCGTGGGATCATTCATTCATTCATTTGTGAGATATTTATGGAAGGTACATATTTAGCCTAGTTGCTTGGCCCAGGGAAAACACCAGCCTTTTGAAAGGGCTCTGGGTTGACCTATCTCTGTACCTGTAGAATTTTTTTTTTTGTCAGTTCTGGGGCTTGAACTCTGGGCTTGGGTGCTGTCCCTCAGCTCTCCAGCTCAAGGCCAGTGCTCTACCGCTTGAGCCACAGCACCACTTCCAGTTTTCTAGTGGCTTATTGGAAATAAGAGTCTCACCGAGTTTTCTGCCTGGACTAGCTTTGAACCGTGATCCTCATATCTCAGCTTCCTGAGTAGCTAGGATTACAGGCGTGAGCCACCAGTGCCCAGCTTGAGCCTCCAGGATTGATGGCATCATATTTGGCACTCTTTATAGTCTTAGGTAGCACTCAATAAATATTGTAGAATAAATAAGCTAGGTGTCAGTGAGTGACTCATGCCTGTGATCCTAGCTACTCAGGAGGCTGAGATATGAGGATCACAGTTCAAAGCCAGCCTGTCAGGAAAGTCTGTGAGACTCTCATTTCCAAAAAACTTACTGCCACCACCACCACTACCACCACCCCCCACAATAAAAAGGCCGAAATAGCAGTGTGGTTCCAAGTGGTAGAGCACTAGCCTTGAGCAAAAGCTCAGGGACAGTGTCCAGGTTCTAAGTTCAAGCTCCAGGGCTCGCGTGCGTGCACACACACAGACACAAGAAGAAAGAAAGGGGGCTCAGTGGTAGAGCGCTTGCCTTGCATGTGTGAAGCCCTGGGTTCGATTCCTCAGCACCACATAAGCAAAAAGAAAAAAGCAGAAAGTGGCGCTGTGGCTCAAGTGGTAGAGCGCTAGCCTTGAGCTGAAGAATTGAGGGACAGCGCCCAGGCTCAGAGTTCAGGCCCCACAACCAGACCCCCCCCCAAAAAAAAAGAAGAAAGAAAGAAGGAAGGAAAGACAGAAAGGAAGGAAGGAAGAAAGGAAGGAAGAAAAACAGAAAATAAAATATAGAGCTGGGCACTGATGGCCCACACCTGTAATCTTAGTTACTCAGGAGGCTGATATCTGAGAATTGCAGTTCAAAGCCAACCTGGGCAGGAAAGTCTATGAGAATTATCTCCAATGTAGTTACAACATAGCCGGTAGTGGAGCTGTGGCACAAATGATACAGCACTAGCCTTGAGCATAAAAGCTCAGGGATAGCACCCAGGCCCTGAGTTCAAGCCTCAGGACCAGCACAAAAAAGAAAAGAAAAATATAGGTGGGAAAAAAGATGAAAGAATTAGGCTGGGTGTTGGTGGCTCATGCCAGTAATCCTACTCAGGAGGCTGAGATCTGAGGACCGCAGTTCAAAGCCAGCTGAGGCAGAAAAGTCTGTGAGACTCTTATCTGCAGAAAAACATTCAGAAAACTGGAAGCGGCGCTGTGCCTCAAGTGGTAGAGCGCTCATCTTGAGCTGAAGAGCTGAGGGACAGCGCCCAGGCCCAGAGTTCAAGCCCCATAACCGACAAAAAAAAAAGATGAAAGAATTAGAGTTTAATACCCTCCTATCAGGATAAGCTACACCAAGTAGAGAAAGGTGAAGAACGCTAATTTCAAGGGTAACATAATTGATGACAGGTGAACAGATTTATAACCAGATTGGATGGGTTGTGCCCTGTGCAGCCCCCTGCAGGTGAAAATGCAAAGGCAGCCACAGGGTGATGGCAGGAGAAACAGTGGCCCCTAGTGGTTAACCATGGACATGCAGAAAAAGCCCAAATGAACCTGGCTGCAGGATCACAGAATTATGTGACCCCTGATGGGAGCAAGGAGTTGGACAGAGCCTGCCCTGCCAGGATGTGTTTCTACGGAGAATACATATTATTCTCTGGACAAGAAGTTTCTGTCCTCCCAAAGTGTATTATGACCCAATGTTCCCAACTTCACAAGAAACACACTTACATCAGGAAAACCATCACATTGTCTATAGTGTTTCCACAGTAAATTGGAATTAGAAGTTTACTCAAATGTGTTTATTTTTGTTTTTCCTCTAAGATTTGGAAAGTATTTGTGGATTGGACTGTAGCAATAGCAATAGCAACAAAGTGTGTGTGTGTGGGGGGGGTTGTTGCTCAGTGCTAAGTACTTGTGTACAGAGTGAGGCACTCTGATTCCTAGTATCAAAACAAAGAAAATCAAAACAAAAAGCAGGCTAGTGACAGGCTAGTCAAGTGGTTAGCGTCTGCCTAGCACAAAGCCCTGACTTCAAATCCCAGTACCACCCAAACAAACAAAACCCCACCAAAACAAAATATACTAAAAGTACTTAGAAGATAGTGCAATAGCTTTCTTTCTTGGAGGAAGAAAATGAAGTTGAGATAAGGTCTGGTTATATAGCCTTGGCTAATCTTGAATTCTAGAGATATTTGTGCTTCAGCCTTCTGAGTTCTGAGGTTATAGGCACATAGCAACCTACCTCTGTGACAGCACTATTTTTATACAAAAATCTTAAGAGTGTGAATGGAGGAGGATCTCAGAGCAAACAACACAATAAAGAAATATCCCCTTCCTCTGCTTTCATACCCCTGCTCATTATGGTGCTTTTGACATGTATCAGTCTCAGCCAGGCACCTCTGGCTGACACTTAGCTCCTTAGGAGGTTGAAATCAGTGCCCCAAACAAAACATGTCAGCCACTGAAGGACCCTATCAGATATTACGACCATAAAGAAAAAAAAGGCATAGTCACAGAATTGAAGGAACTTGTCAAAGCTGGTGTGATCATCCCAGCATCTACCACAGTGCCCACTATATGCTTGGCTGACTGAAGAAATGAAGTCCATTTCAGAATGATGAGGTGCAGTGAAGGGGGGTCTGAGGACAGCAGCTGTGTGTCTCTGCCTGAGGAGGTCTGTGAAGGCTTTTTGGAAACTAGTGTGCACTCCCTCTTCCCCAAAGCCTAGTTGGTACCTGTGAACTATATGCCCCTGATTAGGAAGAAGCCTCTTAGGTCAATTCAGGTAAATGGTTTTTTAGGGTTACAGACAGGGAAACAATTCCCAGAGCCTAATGTAGGGTTCCAAAAGACGATTGTTACTAACCAGTGCCTTCCATTTCTGAGAATAATTACGTTTCTGGATAAATTTTGAGTCTCCATAAGGGGATTCATCATCTGAAGTGCCTTTTGAAGGTCTTGCCTGTGATCTGCACAGAAAAGGAGAAACTGGTCATGCGTGACAGAGCCCAGAATAGGGAGAGCCTTTTCAACGATTGCAAAATCCAAAAGGCATGGCCTCTGTTCTCCTCAGGGTCAGGCTCTGGGTCTTCCCAGCACTGCTTCCAGATTCCCAGAGATGCTACCCAGCAAGGCCCTGGCTCTGAGCCCAATCCAATTTCATACATTCCCAGAAGCATTCTTCTCATCACATTAGTCTCAACAACTCCTACAGTAGCAGGAACCCAGAGAGTCCAGGCACCAGTGGCTCTCCCCTGTAATCTCGCCACTTAGGAGACTGAGATTTGAGGACCAATCATGGTTTGAAGACAGCATGGGCAGGAAAATCTTAAAGAGGGGCTGGGAATGTGGCTTAGTAGCAGAGTGATTGTCTAGCATGCATGAAACCCTGGGTTTGATTCCTCAGTACCACATAAACAGTAAAAGCCAGAGGTGGCAATGTGGTTTAAGTAGTTGTGCTAGCCTTGATCAAAAGAAACTCAGAGACAGTGCTCAAGCCCTGAGTTCAAGCCCCAGGATTGGCAACAACAACAACAATCGTAAAGATTTTTCTTTTTTCTTCTTTTTTGCTGGTTACAGTGTTGTCCCTGAGCTCTTCAGCTCAAGGCTAGCTCTACCACTTGGGGTACAGTGCCATTTCTGTTTTCTGGTGGTTTATTGGAGATAAGAGTCTGCCTTGGCTGGCTTTGAACCATGATCGTCGGATCTCAGCCTCCTAAGTAGCTAGGATTACACGATTGAGCCATCTATGTGGGACAATCTTAAAGATTCTTATCGCCAATTAGCCAACACACACAAAAAAAGAGAAGGAAATGGCTTAAGTGGTAGAGCACCAGCCTTAAGCAAACGGACTAAGCAAGAGGACCTGAGTTCAAGCCCCTGTGCAGGCAACCAACCAGACAGGTAAATTTTTTGCCCCTGATGGCTTTGAACCTTGAGCCTCAGCTCTCGGCCTCTTGAGTAGCTAGGATTATAGCCACTGAGCTCAAGCCTGGCCTTTTTTTTTTTTTTTTTTTGCTTTTGTGCTTGAACTTGGGGCCTGGTTGCTGTCCCTGAGTGAGCTCTTGTCCTCAAAGCTAGCATTCTACCACTCAGCTACAGCTGCACTTCCGTTTTTTTTTTTTTTTTTTGGTCAGCCATGGGGCTTGAACTCTGGGCCTGGGCGCTGTCCCTCAGCCCTTCAGCTCAAGGCGAGCGCTCTACCACTTGAGCTACAGCGCCACTTCCGGTTTTCTGGTGGTTTATTGGAGAGAGGAGTCTCACGGTCTCTCCTGCCCGGGCTGGCTTTGAACCGCGATCCTCAGATCTCAGCCTCCTGAGTAGCTAGGATTACAGGCGTGAGCCACCGGTGCCCCGCTGCACTTCCGTTTTTTTGTTAGTTAATTGGAGATAAGAGTTCCTGCCCAGGCTGGCTTTGAACTGCAATCCTCAGATCTCAGCCTCCAGAGTAGCTAGGATTACAGGCATGAGTCACCAGTGTCTGGCGAGCCTGCCCTTTTGCTAGCACGTAACTCCATCCTCACTGGACTGACAACTGGGATTCTAATTCTGCATCACTGATTCTGTGGGATTGGAGCCTCAACACAAAGAACTGGAGGCCAATGAGCAGTGCAGAGATACTGACCAGGTGTCATCTCCCTTTCTGAAAGCGTACTTAAGCCCTTCTCTCCTCCCTCAGTTTTATCAACGCCTACCTCGGCTTGGAGAAGCTGTACAGACGCTGCTGCGCGTTATCCATGACCCTCTGGCAGGCAGGCGGCCAGCACTCGCAGAATGGGAAGCTGAGATAGTGTACAGCCTGTCGCCTTGGCAACTAAACTCCCAGCTACTCCTGCGGTGAAGGCGGGACCAGGGTTGTGCCACGCCCCCAGCCCCTCGCCTGCAGGCTGGGAAGAAGCCAAGTAGCAAAGATGTAGTGAAACACAGGAGCTGGATACCCCGAGAGCCATTCTCTGCCGCAGATTTGGCATTAGCTTCAGAAATGAAGCAGGGGGATAAACTGAGGCAGTGGAGGAGGGAGGTGAGCAGAGAATCCGGGGCCGTTTTATATGCGGGAGTTGTAGTTTTTGGTGTCTGAGAGTCTCCGCTGGATAGGCTTAGTGGCTAGTGGCTGTGAACTACATCTCCCGACGTGCCTTGCGGGTTGTCGTTGGTCCGCCTCTGGGGCGCTCTGCATTGTGGGATATTGAGTCTAAAATGTGGCAAGCTCAGCAATGTCCAAAGCGAGGTGCTGGACTCGGACTCGGTTTCCCTGCGGCCCCGGGAGGCTCGCGGGCCATTGGCTGAGTGGGGCGGATCTGGTCGCGCTCCTCCCCGCCCCCAGTGACACAATAGCAGCTCCCACCAAGATGGCGGCGGCGACGGCGGACCCGGGAGCAGGGAGCCCGCAGGCTGGGGACTCCTCCAGCGGGGGGGCTGGGGGCGGGCTGCCGTCCCCCGGGGATCAGGAGCTGAGCCGGCGCCTGCAGCGCCTGTACCCCGCGGTCAACCAGCACGAGACGCCATTGCCGCGTTCCTGGAGCCCCAAGGACAAGTACAACTACATCGGCCTCTCTCAGGGCAACCTCCGTGTCCACTACAAAGGTATCGACCCGTCTGGCCGCTGGGGGGACAAGTCCAGAGCGTCTGCTATGTTGTTTGGCCCCATTCCATCACGTCCCTTTCCTTGTCTGAGTTTTCCGGTTTAGGCCTTAGCCCCCCTGTGAAGTGTTTAGAGTGGTGGAGCTGACCAGGCCGAGGGTTGACTGCCTTGCTTTACCCTTCCCTGAGACAACCAATGGTCAGGAGAACTCCAACAGGTGTCCAAACTCTGTGCTGAGCTAACCCTTCTACTGTAGAGCGTCTCTGGGCTGGCTCTTTACCTCTGTTTAGTTTCAGGGATGCCTGCAAAAAGAGGTGATAACATCTTCCCACCATTAGTAAGACATGAATGGACTGTCCTGCCTGCTAGTCATCCTATACTGGACTGGGGTTGTGTGCTAAAGTTGTTGTTGAGAGTGTTATCCATGTTTGCCTCCCCCTTTCCCTGATCTCTCAGGTGGGCTGCCTGGGTTCTGAGGAGTCTGCCAGGAATGCTCACTATCTTTTGCAAGTCCCCACTTTGCCTATACCCTGTTTTGTGATTATGAAGGGCAGTGGCTCAGGGAGGGCTATCTCAAGAGGAGGTGAGCCAGATGTGGGAGTTCTAAGTGTTTACTCAGTTGTCCATTTATTCCTTGAGCTATAAGTGCTTAACCAAGGAGGATGAAGTTGCCATGGAGCGGAGAAGAAAGAGGTTTCCATTTGCATTTACTTCTGCCGAAATTTGTTTCTTGTCCTTTCCCATTAGGTCATGGCAAAAATCACAAAGATGCAGCTTCAGTTCGAGCTACTCACCCCATACCCGCTGCCTGTGGTATTTATTACTTTGAGGTGAAGATCATCAGCAAAGGAAGAGATGGGTAAGCCCCTTTTTACTACCCTCTTTTCCCCACTCCCACACTAAGCTGTTCCCTGTGGTAAGAGTTTGAGGCCTCCTGTGATTGATATAACTCCTCTTTAAGGAAGGATATAGCTTGGTCTAAGCATTGGGCCTTGATAGATACATTGTGGATAAATCAGGGACCCTTTTTTTTTTTAGTGATGTAAACAAATACTTCACAGATCAGAAACACAGATAACAGGTTTACATTATTAATTCAGTGTACAGAATGGGATTTCCCCTACTAGCCTGTGCCCTTCAAGACTTCCCCTTTTTTATACTCAAGGTCCTCTTTATGGCATTTAGTCATATAGAGTCTCTAGTAGGCTTCAAAGGGATAGTAGAATCTTTGCAGCATTCATCAAAGCTCTAGTGGCCACTGTCATCTCAGTAAACAACATAACATGGTCAGAATCAAGTGACCTTGTTGCTTATAAACTTGTTTTTCAGTCCAGGGACTTGAACACCAGTCTGACCAGCTTTTAGAAGGTCCTTATTAAAGTCAGCATAAGGGCAACGCCCTTCTTGAGGGTTATGTAAACAGACACTAAACATCAGAGTGAACCTTTTTCACTCTCTTTTCCTTTTTTCTTCCAGTCATCTCTTTTTTCCAGTGATGGCAACAAAGGATATGTGTTTAAGATAAGAAATACCATGACTGTAACTGCTTTGGCAAAAGCTTTCTTCATTATATTTTAAGTATGGTATGAAAAGTTTGGCCACACTCAGTTCTTCTTTGATCTGAGTGTATGTTTTTTAAGAATTTTGAGGAGTTTTTCTCTCCTAAGGACTGCTCCTCTTACAGTGTATGCAAAATACCTGATAAAGGGGTTGAACTTGGAGCAGAACTGCCAGAATCAGAAACTTCCCTGCCTTCTTTGTGTTGTTTTAACTCCTTTGCCTGGTAGGGCTCTGTGGGCTTGAGTACATCTTGTTTCTTCATCTGTACTGACAGCTGCTAGGGCCAACATCTAAGCTGCCATTAACCCTAGAATGTGATGAGTCTGAACTTCTTTTTTTTTTGTGTGTGTGTGCTGGTCCCAGGGCTTGAACTCAGGTCATGGCTCTGTCCTGAGTTTTGTTTTGTTTTTCTTTGTTGGTCATGGGACTTGAACTTTGCCTGGGCACTACCCCTGAGCTTTTTTGTTGTTGTTGGTCATGGGGCTTCAACTCAGAGCCTGGAGCTGTCCTTGAGTTCTTTTGCTCAAGTTTAGGGATCTACCATTTTGAGCCACAGCACCACTTAATGGCTTTTGTGTGTGTGTTTAATTGGAGATTAGAGTCTCACAGACTTTCCTGCCACGGCTGGCTATGAACCGCGATTCTCAGGTCTCAGCCTCCTGAGTAGCTAGGAACCAGTGCCCAGCACCTGAGCACTTTTGTCCAAGGCTAGTGCTCTACCACTTTGAGCCACAGGGCCACTTCCAGTTTTCTGGTGATTAATTGAAGATAAGAGTCTCATGGGCTTGCCCAGGCTGGCTTTGAATAGCGATCCTCAGATCTCCACCTCTGGAGTAGCCTTTGTGCCTGGCTTATGATTCTGAAATTCTAATTGTGGAAAGCTGTTATATCTTTTACTTTCATCCCTATATAGTTCCTTTACAGACAGGATACATATTTAAGTTTCAGATAGGACTTTAAAGACTTAATAGTCCCTTTCTATGATATGATAGAAGAATATAATTTACTTGAGCTAGTGTAAATGAGAATGACTTCTTAAGGGCTAGGAAGGTGGCTCAGTGGTAGAGTGCTTGCCGTGCATGCATGAGGCCCTGGGTTTGATTCCTTGGCACTAAATAAACAGGAAAAGCTGGAAATGGTGCTATGGCTCAAGTGGTAGGGTGCTAGCTTTGTGCTGAAGAGCTGAGGGACAGTGCCCAGGCCCAGAGCTCAAGCCCCATGACTGACAAAGTACAAAAAAACAAAAACAAAAAACCCCAAACACTGTATAATAGTTAGAAAGTTGACCCAGATGTTGGTGCTCGAGTCTCATATTGCTAAGAAAGCTGAGAGGCATTTCTTAAATGAGTAGGGAAGAAAATGGAGGTTTTCTTTATAAGTCTTTTTTTATATATATATATCAGCTGAGCTATTTAGAGACAAGAACAACTTTTCACAAGAGGAGTGTTTAAGAGCTCTGTATTTCTTTAACTGGCTTTCAATATTTAAGTGGATCTGTGTCATGTTAGGTTGTCTGTATGTCTACAATGGCCTGCTTCAGCTGACCAGATAGTGAGTGTATTAATGGTTCTTCATGGCCACTTTATGGAATCTCTGAAAGCCTTTTCATGGTTAACATGTAGCCAGATGTTGATATGGGTCAGGGGTGTTTTTGTTGTTGTTGTTGTTTTATTTGTGCTGGTCCTGGGGCTTGAATTCAAGGCTTGGGTGCTATCTCTGTGCTCTGTTTGTTCAAGGCTAGTGCTCTACCATTTGAATCACAGCTCTACTTCTGGCTTTCTTGGGTGATCAGTTGGAGATAGGGGTCTCATGGACATTTCTACCAGGCCTCGCTTCCAACCGTGAGCCTCATATCTCAGCCTCCTGAGTAGCTAGGATTATAGACATGAGCCACTGGCACCAACTCAAGGGTGGTTGCCCCCCCCCCCCTTCACTTCTGGCTTTTTCTGTTAATGTGTTACTGAAAAATCAAACCCAGGGTTTCAAGCATGCTAGGCAAGCACTCTATCACTAAGCTACATTCCCAGCCCTGTCAAGGGTGGTTTTGAGGAGGCCAAAAGCAGTTACAGGCATTGACTGACTTGTTTCCTCTTTCCTGCCAGTGTTAAAATATATTTCTGACCCCAGTTTTGTTGATGATCCAAAGATTAATTGGTTCTGTAGTTTTCCTGTGTTGTCTCATTTAGCCTTACAGCATCTCTAGAAAATGGTTGGAATAAATGATGATGTACCTGTTTTGTGAGAGTGGCCTGAGTCTCTGAGATATTTGGTGGCCTGCTCTGGCTTCAGGGCTTAAAATGTGCAGTGGAATAGCTTAATCTACCCTATGTTCTTGCTTGATCCCAGATATATGTGTATATGCTGCTATTATTTTTCTCCATTGTGGCTACTATTGTATTCTTTTTCTGGGTTAAAGAAGGAACATCTTAGGTTCTCATAGGATCATAGTGTTAGGGGATAGAGCAGAAAGGGGTTCAGTGGGACTAGAGTGGGACTAGAGAAGTATGACAGTTATGTGCTGGGCTTGATCAATGTATTTATTCATTGAATTTAAAGGGTTTTTGTTGTTGTTGGTCATGGGGCTTGAACTCTGGGCCTAGGCAGTATCTCTCAGCTCTTCAGCTCAAGGCTAGAGCTTTATCACTTGAGCCATAGTTACACTTCTGCTTTTCTGAGTGGTTTATTGGAGATAAGAGTCTCAGACTTTCCTGCCCGAGTTGGCTTTGAACCGAGATCCTCAGATCTCAGTCTCCTGAGTAGCTGGGATTATAGGCGTGAACCACTGGTGCCCAGCTGAATATGTAGTTTTTCTGTAGATTGGTATATATCACCTTTGTAGAAGGTATTTATGAATCCACTTTTAGTGTTGTAGTTCTCCAGAAATGCCCCTGTTCTCACAACATCTTTTGTAGAAGAACACACTAAGCTACTCTGATCAGAAAGGTTTTATTTCAAGAGTTTATAGAGTGTTTAGTTGTCCTTTCTTTGTTCCAGGCTGTGTGCCAGGTGCAGGAAAACAGAAGTCAAGCCAGCATAGGCCAGCCTTGTCCTCAGGGAGCCTGTGGCCTACTCAGTAACTGAGAATGGACCGAAAGGCTCTTTACAAGAGGAGGCAAAGCCTGAGCTTGCTTATGAGGAATGAGTAGGAGTTTCTTAGCAGATGGAACCTGTGGACTTATCAGTCTGAGGGGTAATTAGCTTCATGTCAGGGTGTTGGGCTTTTGGGTCTCTGCCCACGTGTTTGGGAGAACTCTGAAGGAGGGGCCATGTTTGAGCTCAGAGCTTGGCACAGACTTACTGCCTTCAGCTGTTTTTTGCCAAGTCACCAGAGCTATGAACCTTGGGAACAGGTCTGGTGGGGTGAGGAGATGTATGATTACTGTCAGTGGTGCCAGAAGGTAAGGGGTGATCTTTCCAAGAAACCAAGCAGGCTCTGAAGCTGAGGGTCTTTAGAGTAAGAGCAACTTCCTCAGTCAGAATTCATGGACCTGTGAGTGTCCCGGCTCTTAGTGATGACACATGAAGGGTGTGGTTGGCCCAGCTGACAGATGCTCCAGTGTGACCCTCAAAATAGACTGTAATATCATCCCAGTGGCGGAGGCCTCCTGACATGTGATGAGTGGCTCTACCCAAGAACAGCAAGCCTAGACTAGAGTATTGGATGGTGTGGGGAGGGGTGGGGATTGTTCTTTGCAGCTAAGCCCTGAGCAGGAATCTCTGGCCATAGCCAACCAGCTCTTATTTGCTCCTGCTGCTGATTTCCTTTGGTCAGGCAGCAGTGCCACCTATCCATTCATACTATATATCAGAATCAACATACATTATTTCGTCTTAGGTTGGGCTCCAAGAACAGACTTGATGCTGGTCTAGAGAGAAGAGAGATAAGCCTCTACCCGTAACCTCATAGGGCATCTAGCAAGGATCAGCCTCTGGTTCCTTTGCAGGGTAGTCCATAGCATAGACTTCCTTCTGTACCCCCCAAGTTTGGGGAAAACATCATAGAAGAATTAGTGATGCTGAATAGAAAGAGAGTGTTTGAGATGACAAAGTGAGAAACAAATGCTTTCAGGCAGAAGATGGTGTTAAACATCCTGTGAAGGCACAGCTGGTCATGGTGGCACACCTGTAGTTCTGACTGCTCAGAACAGGAGTATCAGATAAATCCAAGATTTTTGGGCTAGCCTAGGAAACAGTGAGACCCTGCCTCAAAAATATAATAATAGGCCGGGCGCTGGTGGCTCACGCCTGTAATCCTAGCTACTCAGGAGGCTGAGATCTGAGGATCACAGTTCAAAGCCA